AGCGTCTGGTCGCCCGGGGACTTCGTATTGAGGGACAACGTAACAGGTGGATCCAAGAGCCAAGGAACCGTTACTTAAGTCAAGCTGTTTGTGGGTTTATCAGAACACTGCACGAAACTACTGACTTTCTCTATGTGTTTATGGGACGGCTATCTGCAGTTGCTAGTTTCCAACTGGTTCTGGTGATAATACTTATTTTTTTAAACCTACAGGATATAGACCTCTTGGGGGGCCTAGGTGTAGATGTACGGTAAGGATAATATTAAAACGGATTTAAAAGAAATGTGGTGGAATGGTATGAATGGGATTCATTTGGCTCACAATAGGGGCTAGTGGCAGGCTCTTGTTAACACAGTTAAGAGCCTTAAAAGACAGAAAATTTCTCACACACCATGGAGTTTGGCGAGAATAATTTGATAAAGGCAAACATCTGTAGCCTGTTTAAAGTGGAAAGTAGTAGCTATTAGCTTATGCAGAACCCTGCTTAATTTATTCAAATAATGTCCAGTAGTAACCACATATTTTAGATCATTGAAAATACTAGATAAAATTCGGTAGTGAGAGGTGAATATGGGTTGAACTGGAGTCGCAGAGACACTACTAAAGGGTGATGTTACACTGCATACGACAACAAATAGGAACACCTTGTTGACAGAACTGGCACAAGAAGGCGGTCGAATGTGGCAAGGGGTGACAAACCTTGCTGACTGACAAGCTGGAAACAGAGTACGTCTTACCTGCTGTTTTGTATAGCCCTTTGCCGTCAGCGTTAAAAAATCTGTCGCTCCAGCTACAAATCTGGACAGCTGTTAAGTGTACTGAATGATGTTTCAAATGTAAGTTACAGATCTGTATGAGGCCTACATTTTCTGACACTTACCTGCTTGGAGCTATATGAATGGAAACATGAAAGCACGTGGATATTAGGGTCGGAAAACCTGAAGAGAAGAGACGATTTCAGAGACCGAGCCAGGAAAACGGTGGTTTGAATTGGACATTTCTTAGACAGCCGCTGTTTATATCCGTCGCTAAAGCGTGCGTGCTGATCTCAGTTTGAATCCGAGAACTGCTTGAACCACGGCCGACTCATTGGCTCCCTGCTACAGTAGTAGTTCATACGAGGAAGTGGTGTCCACGTACCCGGAGTATTGTTCGTGTTCTTTGAACCGAACACTCGCAACTTATAATATAGGACAGATTGCTTGAGACACCCAATTGTGCCTTTACCGTTGTTAATAGCAACTTGGCTTTGTGATGCAGCGGGGAATTTAATCACCAACTGAAATACTATTAGCGTCTAAGGTCTCTGATCCATGAAATTCGTCATACTATAGAAGTAAGCGTAGACAGGAGGGTTTAATATTAAAATGGGTTTAAATGAAAAGGGTTATGAAGTGAACTGTAATTAACTGACTCGTAAAAGGGTGATAGGTGGCGAGATTTTGTGGTTGCCGTTTTAAATCTCTGAACTTTTGCCAGTATTCTTCTTTAGAACTCGAAGCTTAATATCTGAAATGTCAGTCCTTTTTTTTTTCTGTTATTGTCCAAATTTCTGATTCGTTTGAAGAACGTGTTGCCATTTGAAGTTTTCTGTCTTCTGGGTTGTTGCGCCGTGTAGTATGGTGGATGTTTACCAACGTTTCGGAGGTAGTATGACCTCCGAAACGTTGATAAACATCTGCCATACTACAAGGCACAAGAACCCAGAAGACAGAAATCTTCATACTCACCGCTGTGTTGCCATTTGTCATTGTTTTACGACGTACGGTAGGCCTGACACTTTCAATGACCTGCGTTCTCGTGGCTTATCTTCGCCTGTACTTGTAATTCGACGTGTTTAATTGATTTATCCTAGCTCTGTCACATTTACGTCGCGGTCTTGGCGCGAATTGGCCAACTATAACACTGCTCAGGGCTGTACAACGTGTAATTAATGTTGGGTTCCCAAGACTTTTCAAAGGTCAGGTGTCGTGTTGTAGTTAACGAGATCGCATTGTTTGCAATTTTTGCAGTTTTTATTGAACTTTGTGTTAATTTATTATACAGAGCGCTGAGGATGTATGTTGCAGGGTGGAACGAACAGGGGGCAAAGGATACTGAGGAACTAGGGTCGTCGTAGCTTGTACTTTCCTATAAGTAGACTGATAATATTAAAGAGGGTGAGATGAGAAATGCATACAGAATTTTAGACGGAAAACCTCAAGGGAAAAGGCCACTTGAGAGACCGAGGTATAAATGAGAGGTCACTATTAAAATGGATCTTAAGGAAATAGGAAAACAAAGCGCGGACTAGATTCTTGTGGTACAGAGATGGACATGGTACTGAACCTTAGGGCTCTGTAAAACGACCATTAGCTTTCAAGAATTGTACTATTGTTATTTGGAATCTGTCGTTGGCAGAGGTAATTCTACAGTCTGGATTGTTTAGCCTATATTATGAGGTCTTCCCTGAAAAGTTAATTACAAAGTCCGTCAGTAAATGCCTTTTTTTCTGGGAACAAATGTTTGTCACTTGTTCAAAGAAGCCCAATGTAGCTTTTACTTACCTTGTAGTAAAGTCTGTTGGGACTTTTATCTTTTACCACTATAAACTGCATCGTCATCAGCGGGAAGATGATTATGAATAGTGAACAGGTAAGGAGTTGGAGTAATTGTCGTGATCTATTTAAATACAGTATACCCGTGGTACCTGGGGAGACGTGTCGTAATTCGAACCGGATACGTGTGCAGATCGTTTTACTCCACACGAACGAAGACTTGTCCCAATACGCGATTCAGCTGAGTTGTAGACCCGAGTGATACTCATGCACATAGGGCCTGCTTAGATTCTTGGAATGTTGCTGGAACTTTGGACAGTCCTGGATCAGTAACGCATATTGGTTCCGATTAATGCCAAGGTGAACTGCTTAGGAACTCAAGAAAATCGCGTCTCAAAACAATAATCAAACTTCAAGCTTGGTTTCACATGAGTGAGTCTTGTTGGGTTAAAATTGAAAGATAGGCCAATATGAAGTGATATAGAGGACATACCAATTATATTGGTGTCAACAGAACCCGCCATAATAAATCGCGTTTGTCACAGAGACCATAGGGGGTTCTAGCCCATCGTGACACGTATGGAAGGTGTATCGGAAGAAACAGAAACCTCTATAAATGTGTTTCTGTTTTGAGATTATTTTGTAAGTTGAAAAAAAAGCTGGTTCAACTTCAGAACGAAATAGTCATGTCAAATATTCCGTTTGCATGCTTTGTGTCTCTGAACAAAATCATAAAAGGTAAAAATAAAGTCTCCACGCCATGAAGGCAGAGGGCGGACTGCGAAGCCGGCCCTGCAGGGCAAGAGACTCAGTGTGATCTGCTACCGGCCCGAAACGTTGTGACAAGGTTTCGGAGAAAGTCTTCAGGGCTGAGGATGGATACAGCATGCTCCTCCGAAACGTCGGTTTCTTGATGCAAGTCACCAATACTTGTTTTTATTTTAAGAGCCTGTTTACACAACTTCCAATATTTTTCCATCGGGCGCTTAATTCGGGAATTACAGAATTGTAGTTTACCACGAATATTATAAGAAAGATGGGGCTTTAAAAACTGATTTGTTTGTATCATCGTAATACATCATTGTATTTTTTTTTTGCTTTATTACAGAATGCTTAAAATGTGTTTATAAGGATTTTATTTTCTGAACCGAAAGTCGGTCATTAGCTTGAATGGAATTAAATGTGTACGTTCTTGTACAGTTCCTGATATTGGCCCAGTTGGATTTTATAAATGTGAAAAAAGCACGTCTTTTGAAGAATGTGAAACAGAACAAGTTTGTAGTAAAATTGCTTAAATTCGCGTGACTGAAATTTTTGTCGAATTACACAGTGAAGCCTGCTTGTCTATCTCGGGGCAACGCAACTGTGCTATTAAAATTACAGCTTTCTCTGTTGATGGCCGCCCGGCCTAGTTTTGCAATTAGTAAGACAGAGTGTAAGTCGATAAAGGCGTGTATTGCCTCAGACGCTGGACACAGGATTCCAGTGTCGCTTGGAGAGCAGGCTGTGTTCTGAACTGACTGATCAAACATGGCTCGAATACGCTGTAGCTCCAGCCTGTCGAATCTGTTTCCAGTTATGTAACATTAATTTTAATACTATCCTCCTATCCACTCCCAGGTCTTGCAAGTAGTCCCTTTCCTCGATATAACGTATTCGTGCTGCGTGCTCTGAACGTTTTCTCTGTTCCGAAAGCGACCCGTCACGTTTTGACACGGATTTCGTTCGACGTGAGAGCTACACAGACGTGGCGGCCTTATTGCTGCTCGCAGTGCAAATATTTGTTGCTTAAACGGTGTAGTAGAAACGATGACGATCCTCCTCCAGCATGTGAGTGAAACGTGTACACTGTAAACAACATGGCGGGAGCGCGCAGTGTGTTCTAACCTGCCGTCTGAAGATCGTTATTCTTGTTTGACTAGTGAACCCATCGTCGTTTTGGGATAGACTTGCAATATATGTAAAAGTAAAGTTTGTCCCACTATACGCCATGTAGGCGTTTGGGGTGAGTGGAGGTATAACTCCTCTCTTCCTTGACCTCGGCACTAGATGGGGTGAGTGGTCAGCATCACGCCCCGGCCGGCTTTACCCCCGGGAAAGGACCCCGGTACCCATTGTAGAGGAGGCTGGGTGGGCCTCAGAGCCGGTCTGGACGCAGGGGCCAGAGGAAAACCCCTCTGCCCCCGTCGGGGATCGAACCCCGGTCGTCCAGCCCGTAGCTAGTCACTATACTGACAGCTATTTGCAATATATGTACATTAATTTTTAAACTTCAGTTTAATTTTCAGATTTGGTATTTTTCTCTTTTCATTATTCTCTGGGTTCATATTAGCTATCCAATGGGATTCTTTCCTCGGTGGTAAGGCTGACCCTTACCGGGCACCTCCATCTAGTGTCGAAGCTAAGAATCTGTGGACGTTTCACTCCACGCCACCAGAATTCAGTCGTATCTCTTCCTTGCAGTTGCCCGCGACGTCCCCTGCAGTGATTCGAGACCTGGTCGCGCCGATAATTCAGGAGTTTGCTGTTACCGACTGTCGTCTGCTACTGGCAGGATCCTTGGCCAGGGTCGACCCCGACGCTGACGTCAACCTCCTAGAGGGTGACATTCTGCTTATAGAAGATGGCAACAAGCCACAGGACCCCCGTGGAGGTGACAGCTAGCATTTGTTACTTTTATAGTGGTTATTTTGATTCGTTACTGGGGGTTGTTAATTACAAGAGCTGAGTTTTTTCCATCACCAAATTCTGTATGTTCAATTTTATTATTTTTTAAGATCCCGATAGCCGTGTTAGATTTGAGGTTTTACGACGGTGAAAAGTTGTAGGTGGTCACTCAGAAGCCCACTGTCCCAAAATCTTCACTAGTAAGCTGAGGCTCAAAGCGGTGATTTTCAGGGATTTACCCTCTCGTTTGGGAATGTTACATTAAAGTGTATGCAGTCATCTGGCTACGGGGTTCGATTCCACAGACCCACGTGTGGTGTTTCAGCCGGAGCGTGAAGCTAGCTAGTCTTTTCCGAGGTAAGCGGGCCCGTTAAATCTTGCTGCTTCGGCACAAAGGGCACACAAAGCAAATACAAGGTAAAGACAGACAGAGCTCATCATGGGTTGAGTGTGGCTTTGTCTTGCAGAGTCCGATGTTCGGTTCCGACTGACAGAGGCTTTGCTGAATGAAGAACGTGACTACAGCGCCCTGTTGGGGTCGGCCGGTGAACTCTACGGCGGTCCGCTTAAGAAGCTCTCTAGTCTCAGTGGCGATGAACATCAGCTGCTGTTCGGCGGGCTCGCTAATCTCGCAGGCGTTTCCAAACATATGCACATCCAGGTAAGTTCTTGCTTCGTTCATTTAACGACGATTTCCTGTTGTGGATGATGAATTGGAGGGAGTGTGCGAGGAATGGCCATGGTATCTTTAATGTACCGCCCCGATTGCTGCTTGAGATGACTGAGGAAAACCTAAAAACCTCCCGATATGTCTTACATCCTGAGTGCCAGTAGCCTAACCACGGCTTTTTTCCCCGATGTGATAATTGTATTGTGTGTTTCTGTGCCGCAAATACGTTGAAAATAAAAAGCAGTTAGAACAAAGTCTCTACACGCTAGTTTACCAAGTAGGATGCACTGAGACTTTCACGGTGACTGAGTACAATGATCAGCCGTGTGATATTAATTCGTTCTCACACGGCTGATCGCCCGAGAACATTAAATTGCAGTGCATTTTAAAGGGTACCATTATATGAAGCAGAGACGTGGATATGTCCTGAGTCCTGAGAGAGAAGGAAAATAATCTACAAGCACTTGGAACTAAATTATTGAGGGCAACAGTGGAAAAACCAGGACACACAGAATTAGAAACACACACAAGGGAGAGTTGATGATGGAGGAAATTCAGAACCAAAATGGAAGAAGGTGAAGATGGTTTGGACACGTTAAAAGAATGGATGAGCGTACGAAAGCAAATAGATTATTGGAAATGCAAATGAGTCTAAGAAAACCCTATGACACGTCACGCACACCATCGATAGACCAAGACAAGGCAGATTCAGAGAGAAAAATACGACAATGGAAGAGGGGATATGAAATGCATGAGTGGCCAGATATTGAAAGTTTGCAAGTCCCATGGAAAAGTCGACCCACAATGTGAAAACGAAATACGGAGGAGAACGAAGAACTCTCGAAGTTGGAACACAGTTGATTAAAAAATTAATAATTCCGAATGATGTGGGACTGATGAGGGGTCCGCAAGTGGCCGCGCGGTCTGAGGCGTGGGCCTTGTGTCGCTTGGTCCCTGGGACCGTGGGTTCGAATCCCACTCAAGCCATGGATGTCTGTCCGCGTTTTTCTGTGTTGTGTTGTCCTGTGTACAGGTAGAGGCCTCGCGACGGGCCGATCCCTCGTCCAAGGAGTCCTACCGAATGTCTATAGATCAAGCCAACGAAAAGTTGGGACCCGCAGTACTCAGACACTTGGAGAACGGGTCGTTCCCAGTATCCCAGTGGGATTGATGAACTAATTAACAGTTTAATATATTTCATGCATGTTATGATTTTTTATCCTTTACAGGTCTGCTGATATTGTTATGAGCCGGGATAGCTCAGTCGGTATAATGACTGGCTACGGGCTGGACGACCGGGGTTCGATCCCCGACGGGGATATTGTCAGCATAGTGAAGTTTAGGAGTTTACTATGATTTGGGTATGCAGCTAGGAAATGTTTAAAGAAATATTTTGGAAAACACATTTGGAAGACCTAAGCATAGATGGGAAACAGGTTTGAGCTCAGGTGGTGAATAGAATTAGCTCAAGGTCGTGTTTAAGCGGCAAAGGAATAAGATTTAATTCATGTTGTAATGTTTTAGTGAAACTAACAAATTTAATATTCAAACAAGTAATGGAGTTTTTTTTACCGATGTTAAACATTTGAGTTGTATTGCCACAGTTTGTTTTTGCTTCTGAAACAGAGAATTAGTGTCTTTACAGGTTGTGTTCACAGTTCGAAAGCTGAATTTTTCGTTTTGCCGGTGTAAATTCCAGGGAATTCCGTAATGGTGAATAGTCATAGTGAAATCGTGTGCGTCATCTTCATAAGGAAGTAGTTCTCTGTTTTCTCGAGAGATGGCGAAGAAAATTGCTAGAACAGCCTGCCATCTAGAAGTACAAATGGAACTGAACAGTAGTCAGTTCGGGTATCCGAAGATCGATTTCGAATGTTGCTGGTCGAGCAGTGGAAACACTATTAGCACGTGTAAACATGTTATATTTTCAATATACACTCCAAAATGAAAGAATGAGTCAGAAATATAGATTTTACATGGTTTAATGTCAGCATCTGAACGTGTTCTGTTAGCTTCTCATAGTTATCATTGATTGTTTCCCTAATCATGATCAGACTTGTCTGTCTACCGAGATCGAGGGTTTTCTGCCAGGTACAGCTGATCCATGTAACGGTCAGCGTCCAGTTTCTTACTTGGGAGAAGAATCACGGTCTGGAGATGGATTTTTCCAACTCCGACGGTCATATTTATAGCAGATTCTCCAAATATAGTTGTGGGTACTACTTTTTCGTCACGACAGTTTCATTAACAAACTAAACGCCAAGGTCAATACGAAGGACGTTTGTGTTTGTCTTCTGGGCTGTAACGTAAGTGGAAACAGACGTTTCGGAGGAACGTATTGTCTATCTCTTCAACTCTGAAGTTAGAAACAGTATGTTCTTAGGAAATTCTGGCGCAACTACAAGACCACAGAGGGCAATGATAATTGTAGGTCCTTTGAAGGAAAATGAATAGATCGTAATAAGGTACTTTGCAGTGTTGGCAAGACTGCGGTGACTCGAACACGGGATGCAGAGAGAAGAAGCCACTGTCCCAAATGAAACGCTATCACTATGTTCGTATATACTCTCTATCAGAGAACTGTAAGGATGGTACTAATGGACGGGCAGCCAAGTCAACTTGAGCTGCGTCTGCAGAAGATTAATTTTGACTCTAGCATTTAAGACTGCGTGTCAGTGGAGGTGAAGAAGTGAAACCTGCAGGGTACTGATTGATGCAAACCTCAAGCTTATACTATGAATCCGTGAGTGGAGACAGTGGTAAGGTGGTCTGAAGAAAGTTACCATATAATAAAGTCGTATTTTTATAATGGATTATGATTAGTAGTGAGCGGTTGAAAGTGAGGTACCTGGGTACGTTTTTTTTTACCACATCGTGTTGTGTGAAGAAACCCATCACCATTAGCACCTGCCGCACAACGAGGTAGCCAAACACATGTTAATTATCCAGAAGCTTACAGGTTGGTAACTGAACCATTACGAACTGATTGTGTCATTTCTCATGGTCTTAGAGTGGCTAGTTGATTTGTCATCACGCCAGCCACAGATTTGCGCAGAAATTGCAACCAATCACGTGCTGAGAATTGCTCCATCTTTCAGCGGACCTGCAAGGAAGGGCTCTTCGTTTCGCCTTGCATTTCGGCGAAATAAATGTGCTAGCTGTTGCACTTGCTAACTACAACTGTTTCTTTTAGCTGAAGGTTCAGCATTCCACCATTCCACATGATAAAAAGCCAGCCCCGTCCTCAAAACCTTTTTCTCAAAGATATGTCTTTATATTACTCTTCGATGTTCTTCGTCGTCTTGAAGTGCCGTTTCTAACGAGGTTGCTACAACGTGTCTTTGTATCTGTATGTCTTCGCCATACAGATAACAAGCGAATTCCTCCATGGCCTAGATTTCAGTGTCCTGACAATACCAGATGATCAATGCGACTTAAGTCACAAAGTTCCTCGCTCTGCAGTAGCACGAAACCCCATTTACGTGACCTGTTGTGTGTTGAACGATCGGTTGACAGTCCGTCTACAAAACAATTCTTGATTATAATTTCAGTGTTTTACGAATCCAATGTTTCGACTTCAGTTGGTCATCTTCAGGAGGTTCTATTTAAGTGTTCGAAAATAACAGATATGACTGCTAATCTGTATACGCCTTTTCTGTTGTTGACTTAACCATGTAATGGACTGTGTCTTAAGCAGATTATCTATTTTGGTAGAGTGGAATATGTATAGATGTAGTTACTGCTGGAAAGCTGTAGCTGAGCTGAAATATTGATTCCTTTTTTGACGTAAATACGTCTATAAGGAAGGGTCATTCGGCAAAAATGTGTTACGAAAAATGGAAACGAAAATGGGAAACGAAAAAGTGTAACTTCATTGTTAAGTTACCTAGGAAACGTCATCTGTTTACTCGGCATTGTTGTTACCTATAAAACATTACATTACATTACCTTACTTTACATTACATTTCATTACATTACATTACTTTACATTACATTTCATTACATTCAGCTACCATAGACCCATCTTAAGGGTAACTAATTCAAGTTAAATAAGCAACGTCTTAATCAAACTTTACTCAATTGTAAAGCGGATATAAAGGAAATATTTAGAATAAAGCCAATATATAAACTTCCTTTCCGTAAATACGTATTTACGTCAAATTCTCCGGAACCGTCGTTCCACTGTCACTTTTTTGTTTAAAGAGGTTTGTGATTTTTCTGGTCTGCTGCCCCATGTAAGCAAATGTAGTCCATTTTTCTGGTCTGCTGCTTAAGGATTCTTTCGCAGAATTAAGTTTGAGGAGATATTTTGTATGGTGCGTTGTGAGGAATGGTAGCTGAAATTAAAAAAATAAATAAATAAATTATCAAATTCATCGTTCACAACAACGGATATCTCTCATATCATTTTCCAACTGCCCATCCGCTAATCTAACCCGACTAACGTAATCTAACCGAACCCAATGAAAACTCGTGTAGAAACGTCAATTTTAAAAACAGGAGAAGGTCGGGCGAAAATTAATTAAATTTTGCTAGTATGCTGTGTCATTAGTCGGTACTCGAAATTAATAATTTTTAAATTCCATCAATCGGTTGTCATAGTCAATATAAAATGTAATGAAAATTATTATACATTTTATTTACATATTATAAAATGTATATCCGCCATTAAGCGCCTTTCTGAAACATTTCATAGTGAAATACGTTGTTATTCACTGACGCTGTAAGATTGGCTTATTAGTATTCTGAGAATCACGTACGTTTTGGACAACATTGGAGCAATATAATGTAAAAGAAAGTTCTGCAACTTTGCACCCAGGTCCCTGGACACGGGAGGCTGAGGGAATGTAAACAGACTTCCGTCTCATTTATTGTTTCGACAGATCAACAATTAAAAATTAAGTAATACTGTAAAAAATAGTACGTTTATATTTACTTCCCTGTAATAAATATTTCAATACGATTACTTACACTGCGGAGTCAAATGTGATATCTTTTCGGGATAAAAACAAATGTGCAACGTTGCATTACACGCAGATGGTATTTCTGGTTTAGCAATGCATCCATGGCGACGGTTGTAATGTTATCACACGCAGCCACAAAACCCCTCAACCGAAAATGATAACCCCAGGATGGCAACTGTTACAAAACACAGATAATGTTAAACGTGAAAAGACTGTTGGCACGGAGGATGGTTATGTTACGTCACGTTTTCCTGTAGGCAAACATCTTGCTTTCCCTTTCGTAGTGCAAGTGCAAATCATGCCTTTACACGGTTTAAAATGACGTATATCACGTAAATGCATTAATTCTGTACTGCTCAGGCTCGCATTATGGACACTTGCTTTAGCCTCGTTTTCCGTTGATGTGTTTAACAGTTTGTAGTTTATTTAGA